TTTGTCTCCTTGCGCCCCGAAACATGTGATGTGGCAACGCGTGTTTCGGGGCGCAAGTGAGTTCAAAGTACGGAACTTGATATAGTGCACGGGTCATTGTGCAATTTATGTGCGTTGGCTGTTGGGCTGGCGTTACATATCTTCCCTACACAGTGCTGACGAGCCCCAAGAAGGGCGAAACAGCTGTCCACTGTTGCGATCCTATGTAATCGGTTCTTGTCATGTTGGTGTCTCGAAACGTTTTTCACGTAGTATCAGCCTTGCAGTCTATTGCTTGTCTTAATTCATTTTCAACAACCGTTTCAGCTCGTTCCCATTCCACCCTCGAGACGACGGTTCGAGACAAGAAATACGACCCTGGGAACGAGGTTGAGGAAGAACGGGATAAGGGATAATGCTATTTTCCAACGAGGCCTGAACTGCGGCTGTGTTTGTTAAAATCACGGGTTTTTAGGACTTCCTTTCCAGTAAGAGAATTCTCTTGTTTCCAGCCCATTGCCTCTGGTGGTTTAAAGTTGAAAAATTGGTTTAGGAGTTCCTTTCCCTTCCTCAACAAAAGGGAGTTGTAACAATGGCCGCAAACTATCATCCCGATAACCCTTTTGACTCTTTTGATTCTGAGAGTCCGTTCTCCGTAAGTATTTTGTGTTTTTGTGATATTGCCATTAATGTAACTGTAATGAAACCAGATACCGAGTTAAGCTTATTTTACTTTGCTTTGCTGAGGCTACTGAAGGTATTTCAGCTTAGTTTTAAATACAGAGTCGTTTACATAAATATATAGTAATCTAAGCGTAGAACTTTTTCCTTCGTATTACAGGATCCGTCGGTGCTTTCAGTTACAAGAAATGCAGCCCCTGCAGTTAAAGAATTCAATCCGTTTGAGGATCCAAACAGTTCACAGGTTAGTAACGGGAAATATTAATTACAAGGTTGTCCACTTTCCATTCGGTCTCATTATCTTTATCTGGCACGTGCCTGACTTTCAATTTCAGCTAATTTCGTTTGGTAAACAAATTTGCTTTCCTCTGATTTTATAGCGAGAACACGTGTCGTTCTATTGTTTCGATCAGTTTCCTAAGTACAATAGCTTACAATATGTGTGTTACCCTTCATACAGGCTTAGAGAAATGGTATAAATCAAAACGAGTTTTCTCCTGTGCAAGCTCTGGAATTTGGAATCATACGCTTCATCGATCTTTACTGTGAAATTCAGAGATAATTATGGCCAAACAAAGTGAAGCATGCTCTTCAAAGTCTTTGTGAATTGATAATTTGAATATTGAACCTGCTAGTCGTTTCAATAATGCAATAATGAATTGATTGTTCGTTAAATGTAATGCTGAGGTCGATGGAAGGGTGCGCTTCATTTGGTTTGACTGGAATTTGCGTGACACTGCTAATTGAAAGCAGTAAAAGTCAATTGATTTCTCCTGAAAGGTTTATGTGTGCGAAGAGATCTTTGTATCGCTAAACTGAAAACGTTGAAATCTGGAAACGTTATTGTTGGTGTGAATTTGATGTTTACTGGTAAAATTTTGCTTTGAACATCATGTATAAATTGACTACGGAGGCTAAGCTGATTAATTGTTTCCTTTGTTTAATTCCCCACCCCTTTTTGCTAAACAAACACGTCACTTAAAATCAGGAATTTTTTGTAGTTTTCATTTCAGTATTTATAGGTAACTGTAAAGTTTACCTGGAGAGCTCACCAGGTGAATTTTGTCCCTTGTTTATTCTTATTTATTTGTAGACATGATGATAGATGCGAATGCAGTCATAACACTACTGGAAAAAAGACCTGTAAAAATTTTCAGTCTTTGAACAGGATCCCATTCAAAGCCTGAAAATTTTTTCAGGTCTTTTTTCCAGTAGTGTTATGGCTGCATTCAAATCTATCATCGTGTCTGCATTTAATTGCTACTGTTGGACATTTATTACTATGGGATCTTATTTATTTATTATTTATTTATTTGCTTAATATAATATTATATATTTTTTTCATTCAACTATTGATTTAATTTTTGTTTCTCATGGCTTACCTCATGTGGGGCCTTGTACTCTCTTACAAACCATACAGAGCTAGGACAAGAACCTTCAATACACTTGACCTACATGTTTCCCTTGTAGAGGCATGGTGATTTCATGGTTAGCTTGTTGGACTCCAGATCAAGTGGTCTGGGTTCATGCCTTGGTTGGGGTCAATGCATTGTGTTCTTGGTCAAGACACTTTACTCTTACAGTACCTCTCTCCACTCAGCTGTATAAAATTTAATGGGTACTGTCCAATTTAATGCTGGCATTTGGGCAGGGGGGGGGGGGAACCCAGTGATGGGCTAGAGCATCCCATAAAGGGGGGATAACAGAAAAAGGGATTTTAAGCTCTCCGGCTGTATTAGTCATTAGGCCTGATGCAGACTTTACCTTACATCTCGGATTCGAAACTCAGACATTTTTACTGTTTCTAACCATGTGTAAACTAAACTAGCAGGTGGATGTAGCAAACTTTGAAGGCACAGGTGTAGATTTGATCTGTGGTCAGAATTTATTATAGTACTAATGTAGTGATCAATTTCTATTTTTTTCCTGTTATGTTTTCTAGCTCAGGACAGCACCTGCTGTCCCCACCCCTCCCCCCTCACAGCCAGCTGTGCTTCAAACTGACAAGGAACACACAACTAGCGTGGTATGTTGCAATGTATATACAGCAGAAATAGTTCAATGACAAAAGAATTACACATTTTTTTTAATGGAAATATTGTGATACAGTCAGCTCTCTAATCCAGACACCTCTATGAGACAGACATCTGTTGTTGGTTCCTGCTGCTTTTCACTATCAGATGCAGTCATTTAACTGGAACTAAATTAACTTTCTAAGACAGACAGCAGACACTTTGAAACTGCAGACAAACAGGCATTTGAGAACTGCTTTTTTTAGTGAAAATATGAAATATTAATAAAATAAAACCGTAAATCCTCGAATTAGCACCTGGGACGCTTAATTCCAATTTAGGAGAAGACGGGGGTACTTACTTGGGGAAGTGCTTATGTAATTTTTCCCAAATCATGGCCTGACATGATCATTTTTTAATACATCATCTGTGTGTAAACAACACCATAAGCTGTTTATCAACATAAAAAGCTGATCCTAAAGTTTAAATCGCGGCACAATTAGTGCTTGTAATTTTTTTTCCAAACTTAATGTGTTCATAAACTGAAACAATGTACAAATCTAATACTACACGATGAAAACTATACATTCTTTGTTGTCTCATTACTTGTCCACAAATGGGGGGATGGGAGAGGGGCACTTATTTTAAATTCTGGCTGACAGGAGATGCGCTTTTTTCGAAGGGAGGGCTTATCTGAGGGGGCACTAATTCGAGGATTTATGATATGTAGACTTAACCAAGCCTAAAATTGGAGCACCTGATTGTAATAATTAGCCGTGAAGGAAAAAAAGGGGATTTTGTTTTTCTTGGATCAGAAACCAGACAGTGTTCACTGTGCATAGGTTGGCTTTATTATCTCAGAAATGACTGGTGTCTCATTATGTGGACGCTCTGTAAACTGGACACCTCTCTGAGACAGAAAGTTGGAGCCAGTGCACGGACAGGGTCTGTCTTAGAGAGAGTTGACTGTATAACAATACTCAGCTATTATGGGTCTATTGTTTTTTTTAATTCAAACTCTTTATAATATGAACCTTAATCAGTCATTAATATACAAGGTAGTATGGTATGTCTAACCTATATTTTCAACCCCAGGTTGAAGAGGGACGAGAAAATTTGACAAGTCGGCAGGAGGTTAGTGCTACAAATTTTTTGTTCAGAGGAGACATTTTATTATCATGAATATTTATTAAAATTTCATTTCATCATTTAATGCTTATACATGAACATTGTTATTTTTTAAATTCATGTTTAATTTAAGAGATATAAATTTTGTCCTGCAGGATTTAGAAAGCAAAGTTGCTGAGTTACAACGAAGAGAACAAGAATTGCACAGAATGCAGTTTGGAGGTAATTGATAAACTATTTTACAAATCAAAAATTACCCTCTAATTTTGACTGAACGTTTATATTTTGAAATTCAGATTTTGAGTTGCAGATACCCGAGGACTTCTGATCATTCATTGAGTAATAATTACCAAGATTTTTTGTTAATTGTTGAACATTTAGATATATATTTAACAATGGATAGACAAACCATTGTCACCCCTTCTCTTAATTAACATGTGATTTATATTCAAGACCTCCTAGTGAGATACAAATTTTCCAATTGTGTATGAACTGAAAGCTGCATTTGATCCATACAAACCATATGGATTCACAAACTGTTGTGACTCCTTTGCTCAAATAACACGTGATTTATACTCACGTCCCCCCTTATGAGATACAATTTTACAATTGTATACGGACTGAAAACTGTCTTTTACAATCTGCCAAACTGTATGGATTGTAAAGTTGTAGTTTTGAACTGTATCACAGATTGAGTATCTTGGACATGACTGAACATACACGTAAACTTGTAACCATTAAACCTGCAACTACATGTACCATTGAAACATGGTGCTTGAGCCATTATGTCATTCTAAATCTCAGCAAGATCTCAAGGAGATGTGTGTGCCTTTCTGAATTGTGGCGAGATCTCAACCAGATCTAACTGGGATTTAGAAAGACGCAAATTTAAAGGTGAGATCTTGCAATCTCAGCGAGATCTCACCATTTTCAGTGAGATGTAGAAAATCTGGCCCGGATTTCGAAAGACGCAAATATCATGGCTAGGTCTTGGCAAAATCTCAACAATCTTGGTGAGATCTCACCAATCTCAGCAACTTCTTGGTAGTCTCAGTGAGAGATTACCAAGATCTCGTTATTTCTCACAAGTGTTCAAAGTTTCCCAGTGTCCACCTATTTTATAAAAGTCTTTCAAAGGTAACTCAGTCATTAATTTTTTATTGTTTGCCTGGCAGGCTATAGAGAAAACAACTTCCCTCCTCTGCCAGCCAAATGTCCCTGCAAGCCATGCTTTTTCAATGATGTCAGTATTGATATTCCCATTGAGTATCAGAAGACATGTAGGGCATTATTTATCAGGTGGCAAGGTACAGTAAGACATAGATGTATGAGAGGGGATAGATATTGTTGGGTAAACACTTTATTCTGAGGGGTATAGATTCCCAAACCTTTGAGCCAGAAAACCTACAGGTTGACTCTATACCAATTAGTCGACACTCTCAGCCTAAAAAAATTAAGGTTGAGCATAATGTAGTCAACTGCTAATTGCTGGTCATTTCTGGTTTGGTGCCTCATGTATAATCAGCCGGTAGTTTTCTGAATTCAGAGGAGGATATCAATGGATGATAATTTTAAATGCAATTGAGAGTTCATTAGGCTGTGAGATCAAAATGTTGCAGAATTTGGGAATCTATTTTTTCCGCTTGGCCCAGCCACTTAGCTCGATTAGCCTTAGCTATTTCTAAGTGGCTGTGCTCTGTTTCTCATTGTTATTTTTTCATATTGCATGTATTTATTTTTATTGTAAAATTTTTCTGGGCACGAAATAAAGATTGTTGTTGTTGTTGTAATTTAGGATTTATTTGAGCCTAGCGCCGTGCAGGAGACGCAATGTCCATGTGATTAGTGCACTGGATGACTAAACATCAAACTGTCCAGATTTAAGCTCTGGTTCTGATTTAAGCACTACCCTGATAAATCCTGGTAGGAAGGAATTTGAACCTTCTGATTTTCTTTATATTTCTTTTTTTAGTGTACTCTTTTCAAATGGTTTTCAACTTCCTCACTGCCCTTGCATTACTCGTCGACCACGATGAACCTGTACATGAAGGCCGAACCTTTGGACTTTCAATAGNAGATTGTTGTTGTTGTTGTTGTTGTTGTTGTAATTTAGGATTTATTTGAGCCTAGCGCCGTGCAGGAGACACAATGTCCATGTGATTAGTGCACTGGATGACTAAACATCAAACTGTCCAGATTTAAGCTCTGGCCAATCATTGTGTAGTGAACAGGCTTTAAGCCAGGATTCAAAAAGTGGGCATCCAAAATGTGCTATAGGGCCTGCTCCAATGAACAATTCATAAAGCAGCATCTGAAAAATAAAACAATTTTCTTTAAAAAGTGGCTGTCCACAGGATGGCTGGACAGCCATCTGGCTAAAAGCCTAGTTTTGAGCAAAACACGTAACAGTAACTCACGCAATGCTCTTCTATCCACCTTGGTGTCTAAACGAGTACCCCCAACAGGAAACTTTGTAGAGTACATGTACACCCCCCCCCCCTGTCCCAGATGGGTCCAGGCAAATTAAATGCTAGGGTCACACTTTGATGGGCTAGTTAACATGCCATCCAGGGGGGAGTATCATATAAACTTCTACTGTAGCACTACCCTGATAAATCCTGGTAGGAAGGAATTTGAACCTTCTGATTTTCTTTATATTTCTGTTTTTAGTGTACTCTTTTCAAATGATTTTCAACTTCCTCACTGCCCTTGCATTACTCGTTGACCACGATGAACCTGTACATGAAGGCCGAACCTTTGGACTTTCAATAGCGTACATGGTATTGAACATACCTGCCTCATTTCTTGGTTGGTATCGCACTGCCTATAATGCTCTAAAGTAAGTTCCAAATTAATAATAATTGATAACAACATTAATTGTTTACCCAGAGCGGTTTTCAGTTGAGTGTTATAAAACCAAAACCAAACCAACTGCTTACTAATAAGACTTCTCAGCCAATGTCAAACCGTAGTAGAACCAAAAGCAAAGTGATTACCTGTGATTACTTTCGACACTCAATTGAAAACTGCTTGCTTTTGTAAAAAATGCGATTGCTGTTGAAACAGTAGTTACACCTAACTTGTGTAGCTTCTTACATGTATAGTTTTTTTAGGTGACTGGTTACCTTTCTTTTCATCAGATAGGTTATATATAAGTACAGTCGAACCTCCCGTAAGCGACCACTCAAAATGTCAAGCCTAGGTGTTCGCTTATGGGAGGTGGTCGCTTACGAGAGCTTAGACCACAAAGAGTCAAAATCTTTCCTCATTCAAATATGGTAACTGCCGAGACTTAACCCATGCGCCAATGCCGATGCAATGTTTTGTTCATGTAAAAGTCAATTTCGAGAAAAAAATCTGGTTCTTCCCATTGAGAAATTTCTGTTTCTTGTATTCGCCAGGAATAGGATAATGTTAAAACACCTTATTATCCATTTTTCGCTCCGTTATCTGTCAAGTGGTCACTCATGGGAGGTTAAAAACAAAGGTTAATTTCAAACGTTTAGCTCTAAAAGTGGTCGCGGGCGCTTAGGAGAGATGGTCCCGTAGAAGAGGTTCCAAATATAGTGATTTGACTTGGAAACTTATAGTATAATTTTGGAAAACTGGTCGCCGAGGAGAAGTGGTTTCTTACGAGAGGTGGTTGCAACCAGAGGTTCGACTGTACTTTTTTATCTTATGAGCTACAAATAGTACTGAAGCAAAATGTTCTCAATTTGTTCTATACTTTAAGAGTTTGTGCAGTATGTATAGACAGGGCTTGAAATTAAAAAATTCTCAAGTCGCCATTTGGCGACTAAGTGATAAAGGATAGTCGCCAAATGCAAATTTTTAGTCGCCAGAATCGTAAAAATCAAATAGTAGAGAGACAATCGGTAGGGATACATGATGTACTCAATACTCAAGAGTTTGCAATTTCGAACACGGGCAGCCACTTCGAAGTTTTCTGATGTGAGAGGATCTCTTATAGTCTTTACAGCAAAGCAAAAGGATGAATTGACTCCATGCACGCCTTATTTAACTTGTGCCCTAAAATAAAGAAGCTGCTGAATCAAACATGGCAATCCAGTTGGCGATTGAAGAATCCCTGCTTTGTTTTGTTTATATATCTGTTCGAATAAATCGTACCTTCATCTACAAGTAAGGTCGTTTTCCTTTGAGGTTAAAAGGTTGACGAAAGAAAACGTGAGTTGCCCACTGGCGACCAGTTCTTAATATTTGGTCGCCAACACTCGATTTTTGGTCGCATTGGCGACCAGTGAGTCGTAATTTCAAGCCCTGATAGAGAGACTATTCGACCAAGTAATGCAGCTAAAATTCAGGCCTCAGTACAGACTATTTAGTCATTTCCAATTTCCCTGACCCTCTGTTTTGCAGGAGCGATGGCTCCTTTTGTTTTGTTGTGTTCCTGATCATCTACTTTTGGCAGATATTATTCAATTTCTTTTATGCTCTTGGTGTGACTGGCTTGGGAGCCTGGTAAGTTATCTAGATCTTAAAATTGATCAGCATTTTGTGTCTCATTACAAATGATATTGGGACATTGTCAAGTAGTTAGGTTACGAAAATTAAGTGTAATCAGGTCAGACACCAAGGCTTGGATAATATTTTGATGTTATCAAATTACAAGCTTTGATGGATATCTCTTCCACATCCCCTTTCCTATCATACAAATATGATTAGTCTTCTTTTAACTTGAATGAACAGTCTGCAAATTAGATAAACCCTAAGCTTTGAGATCAACATACCAGTTCCTTGAAGTAATACTTCTTTGGTGGAGGCGCGGTGGCCTCGTGGTTAGTGCGGTTGACTCCCGATCGAGCGGTCCGGGTTCAAGCTGTCTGGCGACATTGTGTTGTGTTCTTAGGCAAGACACTCACAGTGCCTCTCTCCATCCAGGGAAAAATACCACCAGAGTTCAACACAGGATTTCACTCACCTGAGTTTTTTTATTTACATCGTTCGATTAAGAGGCGTACAGTCGTTACATGCAACGTGCAGTAAAATCCTTAGTACAGTTATCATGTGTACTAAGGAAAAAAATTGAAAAACTGTACCCATAACGCGCACCCTATGCCTAGTCGCTCCATGCTACAGAAACCGGGATAAGCTCTTATGACTGTTAAAATTCAGATTTTTTTTGTCTTGTTTTTATTAGTGGTTTTATTAATGGGACAGAAGCATTTCACCGCAGCATTCCAGTGGGTTCGATGATGTTTGCATCAGGGACAATGTTCCTAGTTGGTGCCATTGTGGATACTGTGCTTCTTGTTAAGGTATTTCTACATTCTCTGCTGAGTTCAAAAGTGCAGTTCTGTACGGCTCGCGCTTGGCAGTGATTTAGTTTTAATATTTTTGACGTTTCTTTGGCAACTATTTAACGACATTTGGTTGGTTTCCGTTAGAGTTGACCAATCACAAGTGCGTGGCGCGGAATGCGACAACTCTTAGGGGGAGGGGAGGGGAGGGGGAGTTAAGTCTTGCCTTCCTTTTAACGCGTTTGTTGTTGTGAATCTCGTTTCCAATGATCGATGTTTTAGGGAAAGCAAGCTTCTAAAGAAGATGGTGTTCCCGTTGTACAGATCTCCCAGTGATTCACTCCTGGTTTGAAATAGTTTTGTTGGTTTATTTATTTGTGACACGCACTGTATTTTCAGCTACATAGGATCTATCGCATGGCTGGTGCAAGTTTTGAGAAAGCACAGGAAGAGTTTGCAAGTGGGGTCGCCTTCAATCCACACGTGAGGGGTGCTGCTGCAGATGCAGTGGCCAGCGGAATACACCAAACCATCGAAAGGCAGTAAGCTATGGACCAACTACACACAAAGGAACTGACCACACTCTGTAAAATCCAAGTTGCAAATGGCCAATTTCCTTTGTGATATGTGCCTGCAGGGAATCATGGATATTTGTTTTCCTGAACTACCAGTTCAAGATGATGAATACAACTACCATGATTCCCTGCAGGCGCATTGCATAGAGGGAATTGTCCATTAACTTTGCGAGTTTGTAGCGGGAAGGTTTTTCGACCAGAATTTAACTCAAAGCACAGACGCCTTCAGAACTTCAAACAGTATGTTAGTGAGGTGTTCTACTTGTCAGTGCGCGGTCGTTTCCTTGAAAAACGGGATCTTTTTTCAACTGTTATTGAAAAGAAGGTGTAAGGAAGTAATTGAGATTAACTTAAACTGCCATAAAATTGAAGCCGTGTAGCAAACGAAACAAGTCATTGCAGTTTTCAATGGAGTGTCGAAAAACCTAAACCAAATTGATCACTCGGGACGACAATTCACTGAACCAACCAAAACACGAAGCAAAAGAGAGCTTGAGCAAAACCCCGACGGCAACGAGGTCATCAAACGAAATGTTTAATGAGCAGAACAATGGCTGTGCACGTGCGTTATAAACTTTTGTACATTTCTTTGCCGTCCTCTGCACAACAACAACGTGAAATGACGAAGTTCTGCGTGTTTTGGAGAAGCGAACGATGAAGGCTAATTTTTCGTATTTTCAGTTGGAATTGAACGGTGGTGTCACATGTTTAACTTTAGCAAGTTTTGAGACCAATAGGCGCACCGATCAGATCTAGGCAATTGTGAAATTCGAAGGAAAAATATAAAAATAATTCATTTTTTTTACTATAGCGTTTTCCTCGGGGTCGCTGTTGTCATTGCTTCAGCTCTCTTTAGACTTGTAGCCGGCGCGAAGCGAGGGGAAACTTTGTGAACGCGATTCATGATTGGTTTTGGTTTTCTGTGATTGGCGCCCGTTTATAGACTAATCCCTTATAAAACGGAGCACTACCGTGTTATTGCGAACGCTTTGGTAGAGAAAAAGACCAAGAAAAGAAGCAGTAAGACATTAAATTGTTAGAGCTATTTCTCAGGTAGCTTATTATAAAATCAGACCTCTTTGTAGTTAGATCATATGTTGGTAACGGAGGTCTCTTGACGTAACTTCTTTATGTATTGGATTGTTAAACGAACTGCAACAGGCGTTAAAGTGAAGTGCTTTATTTTTATTGCTATTAGAGCGGTTTTCAATTGAGTGTCAACAGTAATCATGCAATTACTTTGGACTTGGTGTTCGTTTTGGTACGGTTTGAGATGGGTCTGAGTAGTCTTATTGGTAAGTAATTTGTTTGGTTCTGGTTCTATGCCAGAAACAAGTCAGTTCAGCAATTTCCCACTTGAAAAATGTATCCGTATCACCAAAAGCGCTAGTGAAGGAATTATCCAAAATGGCGGATCCTGGTAACGTCGACTTGCCTGAATCTTCTTCCGCAACTCTTACTACTGCAAGAAAAGTTTGAAAATTGTAGCCTACGTGATTCTAAATCGGTGTATTTTAAAAACAAAAATAAGTGATATTTAGAGGGTTTTTTGAGATTTTTCGAAGAATAAAATTGTGATACAGTCGAACCTCCAGTTGCGACCACCTCTCGTAAGCGACCACCTCTCGTCAGCGACCAGTTTTCCAAAATACCAAAAGTTTCCAAGTCAAATCACTATATTTGGAACCTCTTGTGAGCGACCACTTCTCGTAAGCGACCGCGACCACTTTTGGAGCTAAAATTTTGAAATTTTCCTTGTTTTTAACCTTCCATAAGCGACCACTTGACAGATAATAGAGTGAAAATTGAATAATAAGGTGTTGTAACATTATCACATTTCTTGGTTGTACAAGAGACGAAAATTTCTCAATGAGAAGTACCAGATTTTTTTTCGAAATTGACCTTCACAGGAATAAAACATTTAAAACGTGGGGTTAGTCTCTGTAGTTTGGGTGGTCGCTTACGGGAGGTTCGACTGTATTTAGGAGTTTTTTTGAGAATTTCTGCACAGATGTTTGGGCAATTTTACATGATATTTGTGGAGAGGCTGGCGTACCTTGGGTCGACGTTCAGTGTATCCAATGGGAACACTATAATCGTTTTTGGTAGCTCCGAATTCAACGTAACTCTTTGGCTAACTGAGTAAATACACTTAAACTTTGCGCTACAATTTCTAACGCTTTACGCACAACAGTGGAAAATATATGTTTTAAAGAACACCTTGCTCGCATTAATTTTAAATCTTTTTAGAGTGAGTTTAACACTTAACACTCATTAGGCATGATGATATTAATGAAAGTACGCTGAATACTTAACACAAATAATAATTAGGATTATTTTTTTTAAAGTGAACTATCGGACTTATCATAAACTGTGCATAAATAAATTTGATTTACCTGTTTTTATGCATTTATTTGCACCAGTGTAGTTCTGGACACTCTAAATTTCATATAGTGCAATTTAGCAACGAAATTACAAGGTAATATATTTCTTATAGTTTATATTCTTTTTTTTCATAAATCTACTAGTGTTCTATCACGAATGCCGTTCTCTGATTGGCTACGCTACTCACTATCTATTCTGTGTTATAGTTCACCACTAAATTTTCTCCGATTCTTATTGGTTTAAACTGATCACGTGACGCAATAGTGTTCGTCCGCGGAGAGACACTATCAGCCCATAGTGCCCGTCCGAGGAAAATACCCGGATGGATAGTACTCGTCCGTGAAAATATTTATGTCAACAAGCGGGCTTATAGAAAATAAACAATTGAATTTATAATGAGAGGGGTTTTTTGTTTTCTTTCTCAAATTTTACGTTTGGCTTTCACGGCTTTCATCTAAAAAAGTTGAAAATAATT